TAGAAAGAATAGTAAATATGGCAGGTGACCAGCTTCGCTAAACAGTGAAATCCTTGCTGATCTTAAACGCAAAAAAGAAGCTTACAAGAAGTGGAAGATTGGACAAATGACCAGGGAGGAGTATAACAATATTGCTCAGGCATGCAGGAGTGAAATCAGGAAGGCCAAATCACACTTGGAGTTGCAGCTAGCAAGAGATGTTAAGAGTAACAAGAAGGGTTTCTTCAGGTATGTTAGCAACAAGAAGAAAGTCAAGGAAAGTGTGAGCCCCTTACTGAATGAGGGAGGCAACCTAGTGACAGAGGATGTGGAAAAAGCTAATGTAATCAATGATTTTTTTGCCTCTGTCTTCACGAACAAGGTCAGCTCCCAGACTGCTGCACTGGGCAGCACAGTATGGGGAGAAGGTGACCAGCCTTCTGTGGAGAAAGAAGTGGTTTGGGACTATTTAGAAAAACTGGACGTGCACAAGTCCATGGGGCCAGATGCGCTGCATCCAAGGGTGCTAAAGGAGTTGGCGGATGAGATTGCAGACCCATTAGCCATTATTTTTGAAAACTCATGGCGATCGGGGGAGGTCCCGGATGACTGGAAAAAGGCTAATGTAGTGCCCATTTTTAAAAAAGGGAAGAAGGAGGATCCAGGGAACTACAGGCCAGTCAGCCTCACCTCAGTCCCTGGAAAAATCATGGAGCAGGTCCTCAAGGAATCAATTATGAAACACTTAGAGGAGAGGAAAGTGATCAGGAACAGTCAGCATGGATTCACCAAGGGGAAGTCGTGCCTGACTAACCTAATTGCCTTCTATGATGAGATAACTGGCTCTGTGGATGAGGGGAAAGCAGTGGATGTGTTATTCCTTGACTTTAGCAAAGCTTTTGATACGGTCTCCCACAGTATTCTTGCCGCCAAGTTAAAGAAGTATGGGCTGGATGAATGGACTGTAAGGTGGATAGAAAGCTGGCTAGATCGTCGGGCTCAACGGGTAGTGATCAATGGCTCCATGTCTAGTTGGCAGCCGGTTTCAAGCGGAGTGTCCCAAGGGTCGGTCCTGGGGCCGGTTTTGTTTAATATCTTTATTAATGATCTGGAGGATGGTGTGGAGTGCACTCTCAGCAACTTTGCAGATGACACTAAACTGGGAGGCATGGTAGATACACTAGAGGGTAGGGATCGGATACAGAGGGACCTAGACAAATCAGAGCATTGGGCCAAAAAAAACCTGATGAGGTTCAACAAGGACAAGTGCAGAGTCCTGCACTTAGGATGGAAGAATCCCATGCACTGCTACAGACTAGGTACCGAATGGCTAGGTAGCAGTTCTGCAGAAAAGGACCTAGGGGTCACAGTGGACGAGAAGCTGGATATGAGTTAACAGTGTGCTCTTGTTGCCAATAAGGCTAACGGCATTTTGGGCTGTATAAGTAGGGGCATTGCCAGCAGATCGAGGAACGTGATCGTTCCCCTTTATTCGACATTGGTGAGGCCTCATCTGGAGTACTGTGTCCAGTTTTGGGCCCCACACTACAAGAAGGATGTGAAAAAATTGGAAAGAGTCCAGCGGAAGGCAACAAAAATGATTAGGGGTCTGGAGCACATGACTTATGAGGAGAGGCTGAGGGAACTGGGATTGTTTAGTCTCCAGAAGAGAAGAATGAGGGGGGATTTGATAGCTGCTTTCAACTACCTGAAGGGGGGTTCCAAAGAGGATGGAGCTTGGCTGTTCTTAGTGGTGGCAGATGACAGAACAAGGAGCAATGGTCTCAAGTTGCAGTGGGGGAGGTCTAGGTTGGATATTAGGAAACACTATTTCACTAGGAGGGTGGTGAAGCACTGGAATGCGTTACCTAGGGAGGTGGTGGAGTCTTCTTCCTTGGAGGTTTTTAAGGCCCGGCTTGACAAAGCCTTGGCTGGGATGATTTAGTTGGGAATTGGTCCTGCTTTGAGCAGGGGGTTGGACTAGATGACCTCCTGAGGTCCCTTCCAACCCTGATATTCTATGATTCTATGATCACCCCCTGCTGGGACCCCTGCCCCAACTTCCCCCCAGGACTCCACCCCCTCTCTAAGCCCCAATGGTCCTTGTCCTCAACTGCCCCCTCCTGAGACCCCCCCCAACTTCCTCCCTAGGACCCCACCCCCTACCTCTCCCCTGACAAACCCCTGGGACTCCCATGCCTATGCAACTGCTGCCTGTCCCCTGACTGCCCCCGCGAACCTCTGCCCCATCCAACCCCCCTTGCTTCCTGTCCCTTGACTGCCCCCCCTGGAACTCCCTACCCCTTCTCCAACCCCCCAGCTCCCTTACCGTGCTACTCAGACCAGCGTGTCTGGCTTCGCGCAGTGCCAGACACGCTACTGCATACATGCTGCCGTGCTACCCTGCGGAGCCACAGGCCCCCCTCCCCATCCCCCCACCCCCAGCACCTGCCTTCCAGATTTGAACACCTCAAAATTCAGGAGTGCTCAAGCTCAGTTTGGGCAGCTGTTACTTCATTTCTCCCAAATCAAATATACTGATCCACTGTAACTTGCTGTAGAAAAAGTAGGATAAAATTGAGCAAGAAATGCTTCCCAGTGGCTATTAGGACTGGAATTGCTATTTTCAACAGCCATTGTCTTTTTTGTTTGTTTGTTTGTTTGTTTAAAAGGAAGACAGTGATATTGCATTGGCAAATTCCCCATAGAAAGAAAGAGTGGAACAAAAGAATAATAAAGGCACCTCAACTTTTCCTCATTTATGTAGGACAGTCTTATAATATGCATCCAGATATCCTCCAATCACACAAGCTGAAAATTGTTCCACTTTACTGCAGTTCTGTAACCATATGGGAACCAATCCTGTCTGTGTTCTGTGCACATCTAAAATTCCTGCTGAATGACCTGCCCTGGGAGCGAGTTACCAGTGACCCAGGGCTGCGGCGGAAGGAGGGTGCAGGTGGGGGGGGGGGGGGACCCCAGAGCGGAGGCGGCAGGGTTTGTGTGTGTTTGTGGGGGAGAGCCCAGGGCTGGGGCGGCAGGGGGGTGCGGGTCAGGGGGTGAGAGCCCAGGGCTGGGGAGGCAGGGGGGTGCGGGTGGTGGAGAAGAGCCCAGGGCTGGGGTGGTAGGGGGGTGCAGCGAGGAGCCCGGGGCTGGGACGGGTGGCAGCCAAAATTTTTTTTGCTTGGGGCGGCAAAAAACCTAGAGCCGGCCCTGGTTGTTCGCCATGTCCACTGAAGGAAGAACAAGAAGCAATGGGCTTAATGTGCTGCAAGGGAGATTTAGGTTAAATATTAGGAAAATTTTCTAACCATAAGGATAGTTAAGCTCTGGAACAGGCTTCCAAGGGAGGTTGTGAAATACCTGTCACTGGAGGTTTTTAAGAACAGTTGGGCAGACTGTCAGGGATGGTCTAGGTTTCCTTGGTCCTACCTCAGGGCAGGGGGCTGGACTTGAGGATCTCTTGTGGTCCCTGCCAGCCCTACATTTCTATGATTCTGGGCTTTGAGAATCAAGCTGGGCTCTTTGCTTCTCACACATAATCAACACCAGGAATAAAAGTTTTGCAGACTAACTGCTGCCTTCATTAGATCCCTATATCTGAGTTCCAGATGTTCTGTATCCTCTATTACAATGAACGATATCCCACTCACCATAAACACAGAGTCAAGCCATCCCAGCTGACCCCCCTATTTTTGCTGCTTCATTAATGTTCTCCAAAATGGCCTTTTTGAGTCACATTTTCTCCAGCTTTTATCATAGCCCAAAAGGCAATTTGTATGGAAAGCTAAAATAAAATCACTTGAGTTGGGGTGTAAGAAGTATAATACACGTCTTTCCACATTCTGCTTCCTCTTCAATCTGCCTATATGCGTCTCAGCCCCCTGCTGCTGCCTGCCTCCATTCTACCCCTCATCCCCGATTTACTTTCTCCTGATCCAGTAATTGCTGGAATGAGAGTGATTGGAATCTGTCTCAAGCCCAGTGTGTGTGATTTGTGCCACGCTCACACCCAGTCTGTCATTTTCATTGGAGATAGTAGGGTGGGATGGTTTGTAAGGAGAGGTTTTTTTTAACTGGCTGTATCCTGATCAAACCCCATTCGGTGAGCTTGAGCTCCAAGGCTCAGCTCCTCAGCTCCTCATTGTATGTGATGTCTCAGGTTCTGCTCTGAACACAGGAGGGCACACTAGCTAGCTTTCATCACTTGTTTTGTTCTCTCTTCTCTGTATGTTCCTAGCATTATGAGATGGGAGTTGGAATCAATGGGGTTTGGGCACCTAAATACCTTTGACGATCTGGGCCTTAGTGCCTTTCTAGACCAAGTTAAGTTACTCATTCAGTCTTTGATCAGAGCATGGAGGCTCCTCAAGGAGCCCCCACCCCACTTACACAAATACTTGAGAGGAGGTATAGGGCTTCATTCTCTTCTGGCTCATGTTGTGGGACCAAGCCACATCTTTTAATCAGAGCTTAGCAATAACGGAATATCTCAGTCTAGACACTGAGGGCACCTTCTGACCTATACAGTGGGGTGTGAGATGAGATCTTAGTAAATCCAAATTACTTCAATGTGGAAAAGGTCAGGAGGACTGATTGGCTCATGGGAAGGGAATACAGAGCCTTTCCCCCCCACTGCAGTAGTTACAATCCAGCCCTATGATGGGGGGAAGTGGGGCTGGCTGTCTTAGATGGGGGAGTGAAATCAATGGGTACAGAGCTTTTCACCTATAGGGCACAAGTCCCAAGATAGTATTAACTGTAAGTAGTTTAGTCTCTGTTCCTTGGCCACCACATGAAATGAGCTGGGTTTTCAGTCAATCTATGTACCAAATTCACTGCAATTGACACTAATCAGACTATGATTGAGTGGGCCACAGAGCGAAGCATTGCCCCCCCCCCAAAAAAAACAAAAACAAAAAAAACCCTGGGTCATTTCTGTAGGGCTGAGGTTATGGTGTTGGAAGGGGCCAGGGTGCCTGCGGGAGGGTACCACTGCCAGTGCTGTACCTGCCTTCTGAATGCCAGTCCCTGGTAGGGTTGCTAGTTTTGGTTGGACATATTCCTGGAGGTTCCATCACATGACATAATCTTTAAATACAGATTAATTCCTGGAGACTCCAGCACAATCCTGGAGGGTTTGCAAGGCCAGTCCCCAGGGAACTGCCAAGCTGACCCCTTTCCTTAGGATCCACGTTCCCGGTATAAGAGCACAGCGGGGCTCTTCCCCTGAAGGAGGATCTCTTTGGTGTGGAGTGTGACCGCTCTACTCCCTCTCTCCGCAAGTGGGGGCAGCGGAAGGGGAGGGCAAGGCAGAGAGAGCAAGAGGAAGAGGACACTGCAACCTACTTGAATAATTGATAGCGCGAGGAGGGGGGAGCGTATGCGGGAGCAGCTGGACTCCCTGTGTCTCCATCCGCTCACCAGCCGGGGATGAGAGAGCCCAGCTCAGGTAGGGGAGCGCAGCTGCTTTTCATTCTCTCCTCTCCTGCAATGCCAATTAAATGTGTTTTGTGATCCGGAGGGGGGGACAGAGACAGCTGGGCAGGGGCTCACGCGGGTCCCCCAGGCACGGTGCAGGGAACGGAGCTTGACTGAGGGAGTTTCAGTTACAAGGGGGAGGTGGCTCTGGGGTATTTTGTAGAGAAATTGTGCTGTAATGCAGTGCTCAGAGAGGCAGGGGTTGGCCAGAGGCAGAGAACGTGGTAGGGTAGGCTACGTGGAGAGGGAGTGAGACAGAGACACTGGGCAGGGGGAGAGGGAGGGGGGGTTAAAGGGGTTTGTCTGAGGGATTTCACCTTTATCCTCCCAACCTAATGGCATCAAATCTTGAGCCCAGAATTGATGGACCGTGGGAGGTGCCATCTGTGCACATCTGGCACTGGCACAGGGGACTGTGTGTTGGTGAGTGTGTCTGCGTTTGTGTGGACATGCTTGTGTGCAACTGTGTGTGCAGATGTGGCTTTGTGTGTCGTGTGTGTGTGTGCGTGGCTGCACCTGTGAAGCTGTTTGCTGATTTATTAATGTTGCACAGTATTAATAAGTACAGAGGGAGACAGTTTCTGTGAGGACGAGTTTACAGTCTGAGGGGTTATGTTTGTGTGATTGCCTGTGCCTGTGTGTTTCTGTGCATGCATTCCCTTCTGTGAGCTAATGTCTCACATCAGATGTGCTTACAGTGACTCAATTAATAGATGCATCGTGCTGAGATCAATTTGTGTTAGAGTAAATCCAAACCTTTCCAGCTCAAACTTACACATATTCAGAATGAATGACCTAACACACTGACCCATACATCCTGAAACATACTCATTAACACAACTGGATGCATGTGCCCATACAGTCAGGTGGCATCATTGTATTTAGTGTGTACCCACAGGCAATCTTTGGCTTGAGTGCAAGTTGAGGGCAGCAGTTTTTGAGAGTGGTTGTGTATTAGCAGGGCCGGCTCCAGGCACCAGCCCACCAACCATGTGCTTGGGGTGGCACCTGGAGGGGGGCGGCGCGGCGCTCCGGCCCGAGAGCGGGACCACGACTGGGCTCGCCGCCCTTCCCGCTGCGCTCCGGCCGCTGGGGAGAGCGGAGCCCCGGCCGGGCTCGCCGCCCTCCCCCCAGCGCTCTGGCCGCCGGGGAGAGCGGAGCCACGGCGGGCTCGCCGCCCTCCCCCCGGCGCTCTGGCCGCCGGGGAGAGCGGAGCCGCGGCCAGGCTCGGTGCCCTCCCCTGCCGCGCTCGGGGGGGGGCGGCGGGAGGCTTTTTTGCCTGGGGCGGCAAAAAAGCCAGAGCCGGCCCTGTGTATTAGTAGTATACTGAGGGGCAGCGAGTGCCAGGGAGTTGTGACTACATGTTGAAGTGAGGCTTGTTTGAGGAGGGAAGCTGTTTGTAACTAGATTGTGTGCTGGGGACCTGTGGGTGCTGAGTTGCTGAGGGAGCTGTTTTGCAGTTGTATATTGGGGTTGTGTACTTTGGTTCTATAAAGTTGTGATGCAGTGAAATGAAAGCCAGGCCTAACATACCTAGAGAACCAGTAATAAGAGCGCTCTAATCTCCACTCCCCATGAGGCAATTCTCCACAGAGTACAAGACCCTTCACCTGTCCAAATTTCATTTTCCCATATGCTCCCTCTTTGTTCTAGTTTAGCTAATCTCCCCTTCCCACTCAGAAATTCCCACATTGTGAGTACACAGTTCCTCTCATTCCCCAGCAACAGAGATGGAGGGACAGAGACAGAGAGAATAGCCATGATCTGTTCTTGCCGGGTCCTAAAGCTTCCAGCCAGCTTCAGCTCCTCATTGTATGTGATGCCTCAGGTTCAGCTCTGAACACAGGAGGGCACACTAGCTAGCTTTCATCACTTGTTTTGTTCTCTCTTCTCTGTATGTTCCCAGCATTATGAGATGGGAGTTGCTTGGGGGGGGATCTGTGCTTGACCTGGACAATGATGCACAGCCAGGTCACTTGCAATTCCATTGGCCTTTCATGACAAGAACATTTTGGAGGCAGTAGAACAACATTCCCACACTCATGTCCCCAACAGGAGGCATTATACCACCCTCTCTCCTTTTCTTTCTTTCTACCCCATCTATATCTGGTATTTCCTGTATAGTACATGCAGCCATACTCTGTGTGTCTCTCCTACCCTCTCATTTCCTCTGCTCCTTCCTACCCCTCTGTGACTTTCTTTTCTTTACTACTCCTCCTCCTACCTCCGTTTGTCTCCCTTTTTGTTCTCTTTCTCTCTGTCTCTCCTTTCACTCTTTGCCTTTCTTTCTCTTTCTCCCCCAGTGATTAAAGTAGCTCAAGTTGAGCGCGGGAGCTGACCAGCTGTAGTGGCTGCTGTCACAGGGTCTTGATATTATGTGGTGACGGAGCATTACATCATCTGTGGCATTGGGACTCACATAGCAAGGGGAAGAGATTGGGGGCAGAGAGGAAATGTATCTGAAAGGGCTCCAAGTCCCCAAGCAACAGGGCCACAGACAGGTAAACACAACCATGTGTGTATGTCTGTGGGGTGGGGGACAGTGCCCCCAACCACAGTCTCTACCAGGATGGAGAATCTATACTGATGTGAAAGCAAAGAAATTTGGGTAGGCCTGGGCAATTCTGACCCGCCAAAGGTGTGAAATGCCCGATACCATAGCTTGCGCACTCCAACGGCTAGACATTTCACAAGAGAGATTTTATGCCAAGTCTCCTCATTATGTATTATTTACTGCCTAGAGGGGGTGGAGCTAGAAGGGGTTGGTACAGCCTTTCCTTCCCTGTGTAGGGAATGGGAGGCAGTACGGGATTGCTCCTGTGACCCTCTCTTCCTGTAGGGTATGGCAAGCTGGCTGGGAGGGAAATACTCTACATTAGAGGAGGGGAGGGAAATAGGGGTCTCTTCTTCCCCTCTCAGGTTCTGCTGCCACTTTACCCACTGGCAGAAAATTCTGGGAACCCCTGAAATTCCTCAGCCAATCATCAGGTCCCTCGGTTAATCCTACCTGAGATTCCCCTTCCTGGAGGTCCTCATCTCAACAGCCTGGCAGGAGAGGATGTGTGGGGAGAGCTGAGCTCTCCAAGCCATGGAAAAGGAACAGTCTCACATTAATTTCTGCTCTCTCCCTGCCTCCTGTTTCTCAGTCTCTCAGTCTCTCTCTGCGATGCTCTCACTCTCTGCTGCTCACAGGGTGTCCCGCAGCGTCTCCCTGGGAGCTTCCTGCCCTCATGTGGCTCATGCCCGGCCCTAGCTGTGAGCAGCTCTTTCCTTTCTCTCATTTGAAGTGTGTCTCGGGAAAGAGAAGCAGGTGGGGGTTGGGGCTTGGGGGGCAGAGGAGGGAGCCTGTGCCCTCCAGAGACAGGGAGGTGAGTCTATACCCTGCTGCATGCCGAGACGAGAGGAGAGGAAGCTGGCAAGCAGGAGAGCCAGGAATCCACCTTCAGCAGGGAGAAGAGTAGAGAATGTTTTCTCGGAAGCGCAGTTTCACCTTCGGAGCCTATGAAGGGTATGTACCTGTACCAGCCCCTGGCTCCCTCTCACAGACCTTGCATTATGCAGCCTCTTCCTGCCAGAACCCTGGCGAAGCTGTGGGAGTGGGTTAAAACTAGAGAGGGAAACCTTCAGGGAAATTCACATATGCATCTCTGCTCCATCACCCCAGCCTCATCTCCATCCTTCTGATATTGGGACAATCTCCTCTCCTTTCTCCAGCAGAGAGAAGGCTTTCCCTGGCCTGTGGGCTGGGGTGGGGGAGTGACTGATTGTTTTCTTCAGGATGAGCTCTTCTTCAAAGGCTGAGACTTCAATTTCTTCCCTCCTCCCTCCCTCCCCTTAGAAGGAGACGCAGTTCCCCAGTTCTGATGTTTCTGGAGATGGCGATGGGTGTTTGAGGACGGGTGCATTTTCCTCAGGACTTCTCCTTTCAGAACAAACAGTGTAACACCTGGTGTGCCTGCAGGGCATGGACCATAGCTGTGGACCAAATGACTGCTAGAGCTTGAAGCGAGAGCTTGGGCAGTTTGCCAGGTGACCCAATATGCCTTCTCTGTCTGTTCCAGAGGCAAAAGGAGGCAGAGGCATTTAGAGGAAATCCTAAACAAAGAATGAGGACACAGTGGTTCTCAACCTGCGGACCATGGGTCACTTGCGGGCCAATCAGCACAGAGCTGCGGCCCATGTGACATCCTCAGTGCCATACAGGTAGTACTGGATGCAGCCCACATAACACATTGTGGGCCACATATGTGGCCTACAGTGGTAAATAGGTTGAGAACCACTGAGCAAGAGTGTTAGCCTTATCAGTGGCAGCTGCTCACTCTCACTTCTCTACCTCTGTCTTGCTCTCTTTCCTTTGGAGTTCAGGAATCAATCTGTGATGCAGTGGTGGGGAATGCAAAGCTCCAGCTACTACATGCTCTGGTGTTGTGATTAGGACTTGATCACCAAAACCCCAAAGAGCATGATTGGCAGAGCTGGGCACTGGAGAGAGGCCCAGGACTGGAATAGCAGGGGCTGCTGCAGGGCAAGACAAATGTTCCTCAGCATACATTTTATTTGATTTCTTCAGACCTATTTTCTAGCTGTGAATTACCTGCAGACAGATTCTAATTCTTATGAATTCGGTGATTCTTCTAAATGTTCCAGGGAACGGTTCCCATGAACATACTTCAGCTTAAGAGGGTCACTTGCCAACTATTGGCCATGGCTATTACATTGAGTTATCTGTAATTTGCTATTCATGGCCATTTGACTAGTCCCTGAAGTCACATAGTGTTGTTTCTGCTCCTGGGCTGGACTCCTAAGCCCATGACGAGCCTTCAAGATAGCCACATGCACCCTTCAACCATGAGCCCCTATGAGAATAGTTTCATGAGGATTTGGACACTTTCCCTTCCAGAGAACAACAAATCACTCCTACGAATGCCTGTGGAAGGGGAATTAAAGGGCTTGTGACATCTGTCAAAGTGGATGTGCAGGTTTTATTTTCAGGATGGAGAAGCACTGGCAGAGTATATGTGGAGATGGATAGCTGAGAGGGTTGTAAAGGGTCTTCCACAGGATTTCAGGGCTGAGTGTGGAGATTGAAGGACTGGAATAGCAGTGCATGCTGCAGGTCAGGATTGCCTAGCTACTTTTCTATTTTAAAATGTAAGCAGTAGATAGTGAGAATAATTCCAGGGATGGGTTCCTGTTTTTCTGTTTAAAGGAAGTACAGCTGTATGGTTAAGAAACATTTCTGCATAAAGAAATATCTCTTTAAAAAGTGGCATGAATTTAAACAGTTCTCAGTAAGTTTTAATATAGCATTGAATGTCCTCCCCTGGCCCTCTGCTACTTCTCTTTCCAGCCCAGTTTCCTTTGTGATTTTGTTTGGCCTGGGACACTTTGTTCTTCCTTGATAGAAGAATGTGCGGCTTAGGCTAGGTCTACACTGGCAATTGAACGACAAAACTTTTGTCTTTCAGAGGTGTTAAAAAAACACCATCACCCCCAAAGACAAAGTTTTGCTGACGACAAGCGCCAGTGTGAACAGCACTTTGTTGGCAGGAGAGCCACTCGTTGGGGGTAGAAGTTTTTTTATTCTCCTACAAACACATATGCAGAGAAATGGTCCTTCCTTGTGGGCCTGCAGAACTGCCAAGCCCCAAAGCTCAAAATTCATGAGTCAGTCTCCCAAAAATCATGAAATTTGTTTTAAAAGTTTAAGTCCCATTTTTGTCCTGTCTTCTGATTTTTTTGAATTCCCTCTGCCCACCCGCAATGTGTTTGTCTTGTTGTCAACCCTGGCAGATGTATAGTAAGGTAGGTGGTTTTGCTGAAGGAACTCTTACTAGAGGATCCAACCAAAACTGGGGTCCGATTGTGCCATGCATTTTCCATTTGCACAGTAAGGGACAGTCCCTGGCCCCGAGAGCTTGCAATTGAGTGCAAAGCATCGTGGTGAGTTTGTGATGTGGTGAGTTTGGAACTGGGACTCAGCCAGACTCATCTCATAGAGGGGCCACTGAAGATCCATTAGATGGGAACAACTTTTAATCCTTGTTGAGCAGAGAAAGATTCAAACTGGTGATCTGCAGGTGGAAGATGCTGAGTCTATACGGCATTACAAATGACTGAGGCATTCAGTCCCGCAAAAGCAGTAATCTTGCACCTTTGAGAATGAGGCTTCTTTGTGGAGAGATGAGTTTATTAAATGAAATTCCGGTCTCCTTTGGAGCTTACACAGGCAGAGTCATCCGCTCTCTGGACACACAATGTAAATCTGCCCCACTGTGCTGTCAGTCTCAGATGCACTCTGTTTGCCTGGCCCTGTTCTTAAACCCATTAACCAAGTGCAAAAAATAAAAAATAAAATGAATATTAGTACAACATTCAAATTAACTACAGTGGTTTGCATATAGACATGCCAACAATTACTCCAGGCTCCTTAGACTAACTTCTATACTGTTTTACTCCCATATGTGTCATTAGCAGGGTTTCAACCTTCAGATGCACAACACAGATCTCGTCTACTTCAACTGTAGGAGTAACTAATGGGGGAAACATGCCGTTACCCTCTATGTGGATCAGCCCACAGAGTCAGACACCAAATGCACATTGCCAGTGGGTTGCACCAGTACTCATGAGACAGCAGTAGAATGTGGGGCATCAGGATTCTTGGCCCTCAAAGCTGCTTGTGCCCTGGTGGTTACAGACAGTGTAGAGAAATGTAACAACAAACACCACCCCTATTTGGGTCATCTGTGGGGTATGAACCTGGGACCACTGATGTTAAAGCATGAACCTTTTACAGAGCTCTTAGCTTGGAAATACCAGGAGAGTCCTAAACCTCTGTGTGGTTTACCTACTAGAGGGGGACACAGAGCCATACTGTGTTAGCATGAGTTATAGAACTACTTACTTTTGCATGTCTTTTCAGCAAGGTTGTATGACAAAGTGGACACTGTTACATTAGAGACCTGGCTTCTATTCCCAGCTCTGACTGTGCAGCCTCGGTTACCTATGAAATAATAGTTCTCTCCCTCTCCAACTTTGGCCTTTAATAAGTATTGTGAATGGCACAGAAATGCTAACAGCTGCTAGTAAGAGTGCTGGGGCTAAATCTTATGGATGCTGTCAGCTGAGCTTGCAGTGTAATACAGCTTCCCCTAGACAGCTAGACATCGTTAGGGTTGCTGTTTGAGTTTTCTTCCCCCAGATTGCATGACGGCTGCATCTTTTCACGTCATCACAAGATGGCCTGTAGCAGGGGCCAAAATTATGATAAATTTGTGACAGTTGGCAACTTTACAAGGCAGCAACCCCTCCTCTGCTCTGCTCTGCTCACCCCCTTAGCAGTGATAGTTCTGACCCCTGCTTTTCTTCTTTCCTTGCCCTGGCTCGGGCATATTCCCATCCCTGGGTCTGGCAGCAAGGCTGTAGCAAGTGGGTCTGTCTTTAGGTTCTGGTTTCAGTGACTCCAAGGGCTTTTAGCTCTTCAGATACTGAGCAGTCTCAAGGTGGCTGATTCCTGGGAGCCTGACAGTTTTTAATAGTTCAGAGGTTAGTTCTGGGTCCTGTCCCCCCTGTTGGAAACCCTCCCCCCTTCCCGCTTCCCAGCATTTGTTCCATCTAGGACCTACCCGTGTTGTCGCTGCAACCCAGCCATTGAATCAGGAGCCTGGAGCAGAGAAGTGGTTTGGCCGAGCATGTATATCCACAGGGAAGGGAACTGTCAGAGAGCTGGTGCAGGTGGGCAGAGAGGGATCCAGTGGCAGGGAGAACCACTGGAGAGACTGTATATGAGTATTGGCATCCTGGATGCTATAAGGGTTAATGGCAATTGTCTCCCTTCAGGAGATCTGATGAAGTGGAGCGCTGCATCAGTGACATCCTAGACTCTCCTGTCCAGGACCCCCAGACTGCACTTACCCCTGCTGTTCACAACAAGGTAAGGAGCTGCATCCTCCCTGTCCAGAATGGGAATATACCTAGAGCATCTGAGAACAGGGGAGAGAGGCAGGCAATGTGCATTAGAACAGTGGGTGGGTGTGTATTGTGGGCACAGATATGTATTTCTCAGTGAGTGCCCTAAAAACTGGTCCATCTAGTTTAACTCCCATCTCTTGACATAACAGAGCAGGCCATTATCTTGGCCACTCAGATGCAACTAATGGTCCATCTAGTCCAGAATCCTGGCTCATCCAATACCAGATCCGGCTGCTATTCTGCCTTTAACAGTGCAAGGTGAAAACAATGCACCTGGCCAGTTGTTCAATACTGTGTCATCCATGTAGGGAGAGGGATTCCTTCCTGACTTCAGCAGATGAATAATTTCTGCCCTGAAGCATGAGGACCCTTATTATTTTTGTCATAGCTGGTGTTACTGCAAATGACATTCTCTCTCATAGAAATGTCAGATCTCTTTCTATGTCATCCTTTTCTCTTCACAGACTGTGGATTTGTTTGAAATGATTGAAAACATGCAGGTGAGGAGCAATTATTCAATCAAACTTTGGGATCCTTAATTTCTGGTAACTGATAATTGTCAGCTCCTATTCCTGTCCTGTCCCTGCACCTTCACAGCATCTTCACTTGTGCCCTTCAATCCTGACCAGCATGGTCTGCTCTCCCAGTCTTGGCTCTCCTGGCTCTACCCAGCCGCCTCTGACTCTCTGGTAGTGTGGCTTCACTGTCGCCTCCCTCAGGTTCAGGGGCTCAAACAATCTGGGGGTACACCCACAGTTAATTTAAATGTAAATATATGTCCCTTAGAGAACATTAAGGGTGCAGAGTTCAGCATTCAAATGTCAGAAAATGCCAAAGTTAATGTGAAACCTTAATTCTGCCCTTTATATATTTTTAAGGGTGATCACTGTACTTCATTGAGATAGTCTATCAGGGTGGCTGTGTTAGAAGGATGTCCCTTGGGAAACTGCTTTACTTGATGGTAGTGAATAGTAATGATTACTGCTTAGCTGGTGCAGCATTATCAGGGGGAGCAGGGGTTGCACTTCCAGTACACTCCCTGCAAGTAGGGGAGGGGAAGGGACTGGGTGGCTCCGCCTCCACATATGTTATTATTTGTGTTACCATGGTGCCTAGGAGCCCCAGTTGTAAACCACAACCCCAATGTGCTGGGTGCTGTACAAACACAGAACAAAAAGACAGACCCTCCCCGAAAGCACTTACAATCTAATTGCCTAGGCAGCAGAGCTGGCTAGGCCGTAAGGGAGAAGATGCTGTACCCTGAAACACAGTAAAATAAATAACTCCCTGCTGCAACAGAAGAGGGGAATTCAGAGAAGAATTGTGCTTCTCTTCCCAGTGCTTCTCCTGCATCTATGTGCCACCCCATACTCAGGGCTGTAACTAAAGGTACATGCTAGCCCTTAGTGAGTGAGAAGTTGTGTGCAGTATTTATATGTATACACCTCCGAGCTGTAAGGGGCAGGTTCTGCCACCTTCGTGCATGACGAGTAGCACTTTACTCTGTGAACAGTGTTACTGGGATTATTTGCAGAGTAAGGAATGATTCAGTGTGAGTAAAGGTGGCAAAATCTGACCTTCAGCTATCAGCTCTTTTCTAAATGGAAAAGTACAAGTTAAATTGGAAACTAATTGTCCCATAAACTGACGTAATATTTATGATGTTTCCAGGTGCAAAGTATTGAGCTATATTAAGTAATAATAGTGTATTATGCAGCACTGTTGATAGTGGCCTGGATCCAAAAAGGGACATAGGCATTGTAACTCTAAGGGCTTGTCTACACTTGCAGCAGTGCAGCTGTGCCATTATATCACTTAGGCCTGGTCTACACTGAGAGGGGATCGATCTAAGTTACGCAACTTCAGCTATGTGAATAACGCAGCCGAAGTCGACGTACTTAGATCTACTTACCGCAGTGTCTTCAGTGTGGTAAGTCGACAGCTGACGCTCTCCCCATGACTCCGCCTGCGCCTCTCGCCCTGGTGGAGTACAGGAGAGCGCTCGGCGGTCAATTTATCGCGTCTAGACTAAATGCGATAAATCGACCCCTGCTGGATCGATCGTTGTCCGTCGATCTAGCGGGTAATGTAGACAAGCCCTTAGTGAAAACGCTACCTATGCTGATGGGAGAAGCTTTCCCATTGGCGTAGGTACTCCACCTCCCTGAGAGGCAGTAGCTATGTTGACAAGAGAAGCCCTCCCATCAACATAGCGCTGGCTACACTGGAAGTTCAGTTGGTATAACTACATCGCTCAGAGGTGTGGAAAATCTACATCCCTGAGCGACATAGTTATACTGACATAAGTTTGTAGTGTAGACCAGGGCTAAGCATTGTAACGCCTAACTTTTAGGCACTTAGAAAATCATAGGAACAACATTGTGATTCACAAAGCCTGAGTTAGGCTATGTCTACACAGCACACCTTATAACGGCGCAGTTGTGCCGCTGCAGCCGCGCCCTTGTAAGGTGCGCTGTGTGGCCACTCTTTAAATAAAAACACCCCCAATGAGGGGCAGTAGCTTTGTCAATGGGAGTGCAGCTCCTGCCGCTGAAGTGCTGTCCACACCGGTGCTCTTCATCGCTAAAACTTTTGTTGTTCGGGGGGTGTTTTTTCACAACCCTGAGCGACAAAAGTTTTAGTGACAAAAGTGCCTGTGGCTATGTATACACTACAGTTTATGTCGGCATAATTTATGTCATAATTTATGTCACTCAGGGGTGTGAATAAGCTGCACCCCTGAGCGACATAAGTTGCACCGACATAAGCACTGGTGTGGACAGCACTATGTTGGCAGGAGAACTTCTTCTGCTGACATAGCTATCACCTTTTATGGAGATGGTTTTATTATGCCGACGAAAGAGAGTTCCCATTGGCATATGCCCGTCAGCGTTGAGCATCTTCACCAGACGCACTGCAGTGGTGCTGTATGTGTAGACAAGCCTTTAGGCACCTCTTCAATTCATGGAGAGAGAGGCACCTCAGAATGTGATTCACAAATGCCAGTGCCCTAGGCGGGGAACTGCCTAAGCTAGCCAAATGGAGGTGCCAAAGAGAAGGGTGTGTCCTAAGTCCCACCCCTCTCAAGTGCCTCCTAGCAGCCTGGATTTAGGAGCCTAGCTCTGTTAGCAGTCCACAACTGGGCCTGCCTTCTGCCACACAAAGTGGCTGGAGGTGGAGGTGACAGCTCCCCACCTTATAACTTTTATCCCAGTGGTTAGAGCACTTGCCGGGGATATGGGAGAACAGCTTTAATTCCCCCTTCAGCCAGAGTGGGGAGAAAAGATTTGAAAATGGCACAGTACACTTTGCAGAAGATTTTCTCATAGCTATGGAAGGACATGCTGTACATGAGTGAAGGTCTTATGCAACTCTGTGTTGGAAGGACATGCAGAGCTCTTTGCCTAGCTCAAGTGCCTCCTAAACTCTGTAGGAGGAGAGCACCCTAGCATATTAATGGCTGCCTAGGGTGCAGCCCTTCTTATGAAGGGGATTTCATCCACTTATGTGCCAGAGGTTGTGCATAACCACACAGAAAGCTGGTGAGAATTTGCTTGCATATATAGGGCACCTGATTTTGCAGCTAAATTAGCTTCTTTGTTGCATGTAATGAAGACTACTGTGCATGTGTGTGTAACTAAATTAGCATTGTAGCTAACTGCCTCATCCCCAGAATTGCATTAAGGAAGGATATGCTGCTGGATAGAGCTGGTCAAAATTTTTTGAATACACAGCTTTTTTTATAGAAAAATTACCTTTTTAAAATTAAAATATATAGCAAAATTGTTTTAATTTTTTGTGAGTTTTCACTATATCTTTTTTATGATTTAAAAAAAATATTTTTCATTTACTATTTTTCATTTTTTGTTTTTTCCCTTTCTTTTCTCTTTTCCTTTTTCCCCAATTAGTTTTTGAAAATTGATGTTTGGATTTTCAAAAGCACCCAAGAGATTTAGGGAGCACAAGTGAGGGATGTAGGCACGGTTGAAAATCCCACAGTGAATTTAAAAAAAAAAATGAACAGGGAAAGAAAGCAAAACAACAGAAGATAAACTTTAAAAAAAATGGAAAATGGGTTCATTTGAAACCCTTCAAAACAAAACTAATTTCAGCATTTTTTTTTTCAGTTTAAAAAAATATTTCAAGCAGCTCTACTGGTGGTTGAAAAGGAAATTTATGGCTATGGCTGACTGTTATTACAATATACACAGTAGAGAGAAGGAAACTATCAATAAAAAATGTAAAGACCAAAGTTTTTCTAGATGTAATTGGGCGCAGTGCCACTGAAATCAATGGAGCCAAGTCTGTGTCCATCCGCAGACAACTTGGGCCGAAGTTTATAAAGATAAATTGGACTGTTATGATAATTAAATTAGTGCAATTAAATAGGAAATCAAAATATTATAAATTGTACCTGAGACTGTACCAAAATAGTGTAGTATATGATATTATATGAAAAATAGCATGTGAATATGTAACTAAAGTGTGTAATGTAATATGTGGGCACTGGGGTAAGAGTGCATATTCCCAAGTGCTAAGAGTGCATGTCCAACCTCAACTTTGGCATTTCCTGATCATTGAGTGCAGTTACAGTCTTAATGTCATAGAATCATAGAATATCAGGGTTGGAAGGGACCTCAGGAGGTCATCTAGTCCAACCCCCTGCTCAAAGCAGGACCAATTCCCAACTAAATCATCCCAGCCAGGGCTTTGTCAAGCCTGACCTTAAAAACCTCTAAGGAAGGAGATTCCACCACAACCCATTCCAGTGCTTCACCACCCTGCTAGTGAAAAAGTTTTTCCTAATATCCAACCTAAACCTCCCCAAGTCATCTCAGTGTAATTCTCTGGATGGAAATTAATTTGGCCACACCCCATTAGATCTGCTCAGTTTATAGGTAAAATGATGTTGTTTTAACTGAAAATTCCCTCTGGGATCTGAGAATGAAGCTAGGCTTTTTTCCATTTCAAACATCATCACTGCCAGAATACCCTGCCATGACTCCACTGTGTGACTCCACTGTCTTCAATGAGGTTGCACAGGTGGAACTTAGTAGCCAAATCCATGGCTAATGCACAGGTAGGATAAACTTCAGCTCATGGTCTCTGAGCTGTGCTGGCTCTGCAGGGCTAACAGGAGTAAAAATCAAGTAAATCTGATTTCAGTCACCAAAATGAGATGAGCCTTCCTTTCAAGAGCCTGCATAACCCTGCCCTCCCTTCTCATCTGCCACCTTCACCCCATCTGCAATGATGCCAACATCAGCATCCCATTTGTCTGCTTCTCCCACAACCATCTCAATGTCTTCTTCCACACAGCTCCTTGTACATGAGCACCCTCCTGGAGCTCATTCTCAAAGCCACTCTCTTGTCCATGGTCAAGTCCTTCCTAAAGTCCTTCTTCTGTGATGTCTAGAAAAAATTAGCCAGCTAATGATGGCTAGAGAGAAGGAAAATCAGGCCTATCCCAGAAACATCTACATTATCAAGTTGTGTTGTTCATCACCTTCGGCACTTTGGTGCACCCTTTCCTTTTTTCTGTTTGCCTTTTTAGATTGTGGGAGTTTTGGGGCAGGGTCTGTGCTTTTCTATATGTCTGTACAGCACCAGAACTTTGGGGGTGCTACAAGAAACTATTTATGTATGTCTCTATTGGACATGAGCTGGAGAAATGTCATTCATTATCATTGCTGTTACTGATGTCTCTCTGGTGCTACTATGTGGCCATTCAATGCTACACTAGACTTTCTTTTTTCTCCTCTGACTTCCAGTGTTATATTTTGTCTCACTCCTGAGAATTGTGTGAGCTTGATTTTATCTGCTACATCTTTCTTTATACAGGCAGCGAGGGGAAAACAGGGATAGTTGGAGATCCACTCTGAGGGCTTACTTTACTGTTTATGAGCCTGATTTAAATGTGAAGTTCACCTCCATGTTGGGATTGTCTACTTCTGGCTCCTTGTATGTGTGTGTGATATTCAACTAACAATTGTGTCTGTTATCTGTAGAACATGGATTAATTCCATGACCTGGAAGGGAGTAAGATGGACTGTCCATTTCATGAGGAAAAGACAGGTCTTGTCCCAGTGAGGGAGGGAGGTTCTCTGGCCTACGATGTGCAGGAGGTCAGACTAGGTGATCACAATGGTCCCTTCTGACCTTAAAGTCTCTGAGCCTCAATCCCCAAAGCAAATTTTGGCTGCTTCTCTCAACTGAGAGAATCAGCATTTCAGGGCTCACTCTTCACTGCTGTAAAGTCTGAGGCAGTCTCTGCGTCAAAGGGATGCCAGCCTGGCAAAGTTTTGTGGGGAAGGGGGAAGTAAGAAAGGAATGTAAGTTTTGAACTCCATTCTTTGACTTTCTTTTCCCCCTTTCCCATTTGTTTGGAGTGGGCAGAAAGGCAAGTGGAGGGATTGGAGAGTTAGAGGTGAGAGATGCTGGCTGGGAGCACATCTCTCTGCTCTCTGACCAGAAGTGCTACATTCTGTGGGATGGAAGTTGGGGTTGTGTTAGTTTTAACCCCAAATTTCTGGCCTTTTGGCAGGCAAGTGTCAACTTTTTCTCTCCCATATCACCCTTCTCTCCACCTACAGTCTTCCCTGCGATCCTCCTGTAACTGTACCCCAGTGGGTCACAGCTGAGGATGCCAGATTCAGGACAAACTGCTGAGAAATAAGGCGTTCACCCCAAACTGGTGGTTATTCATCCATAAGATATACCAAGCCAGTAACAAAATTAAACTTCTGTTTCACCAAACTGGTTAACAAGAAGTCAGAAAGATCCCAAGAGATCAGCAACACAGCTTGGTCAATATCCAACTCAGATCTTACCCAATAATCACGCTATTGCCATTCCTTTAGTATCTAATATCTAAAGGTTTATTTATAAAAGAAAAGAAAGAGGAGAGAATTAAAATGGTCAAAAGAATGAAATACATATAAGAACTTTGCAATGAGTGTATCAGTCCTGAAGCAGTGATGGAATAAACTGCTGTCTTGTACAGTCACCAGTAACTTCCAAAAGATTGGAAGGTCCTCAGTCCATTGCTTGTAATGCTCCTGTTAGGTTAAGTCCATAGTCCAGAGATCAGAGCAGGAAAGAGGCAAAATGGAGATTCTTCCAGGGCCTTTTATACTTTCTCCCAGGGGAGGGAAAAGCTCTCAGTCTTAGTTTGTGGAAAGGTACTGGTACAAGATTGGAAAAGAGGAGATCAGCTTGGAAAAGAGATCAGCTTGGAAAAGAGGAGACTAAGGGGGGATATGATAGAGGTATATAAAATCATGAGTGATGTGGAGAAAGTAGATAAGGAAAAGTTATTTACTTATTCCCATAATACAAGAACTAGGGGTCACCAAATGAAATTAATAGGCAGCAGGTTTAAAACAAATAAAAGGAAGTTCTTCTTCACACAGCGCAGTCAACTTGTGGAACTCCTTACCTGAGGAGGTTGTGAAGGCTAGGACTATATCACCGTGACTCTCAGCCAGCCAGTAAAACAGAAAGTTTATTAGACAACAGGAACACAGTCTAAAACAGAGCTTGTAAGTACAGAAAACAGGACCCCTCAGTCAGGTCCATCTTGGGGGGTGGGGAGCCCAGACCCAGGTTCTGGGCCTCCCCCGTCTCCCCAGCCAGCTCCAAACTAAAACTCCCTCCAGCAGTCTCACCCAGCCACACACCCCGGCTCCTCCTCCAGCGTTTGTTTAGTTTCCCAGGCAGAATGTGTCACCTGGCCCCAACCCCCTCCTGGGCTCAGGTTAAGTGCTGGCCAAGAAGTATCATCCCTCAGTGAAGTCATTAATGCAGACAGTAAACTAGTAAAACTCCCATGCAACATTACCAGGTTAATATTCCCAACTCCTTACTCCGTCACAGCTGGCCAGACTGGATGCAAACTTCGCTGTTATCCCAGGAGTAAACACATTTGAAAGACTGGTACATAACTTCAGATACAAAAATGATGCACGCATACAAACAGGATAATCATATTCAGCGAACAATAACTTTTCCATTGACACCTTACACGGCATACTTTGTATAAGATTTGTTGCAATTGTATAATTGTGGTAGCAACAATGATCTACATGGTCATATTTTAATCATATAATGTCACACCTCCCCCACAACATCTCCAAAAGCAGTGGATTAGAGGGGGAGCATTGAAGGATCTCCTCAAATACACAACCTGGGGCATGGGGTGTGAGGCAGTGAGGAGAGAAAACAGACATGCTGCTATGTGAGGTTTTACTATCTTTGTCTCTGTGTTTCCAGGGGAGTCGTCTGGATGAGCAAAGATGTTCTCTCCCAACTCCGCTCAAGGTCAGGTTAGGTCTTTGGTGCCTCATATATTATTGAGAATGACAAATAAAGTGTTTCTACTTGCAGCTTGCCCTTCCTCAGCCTTCTGGAGGGGTGAGGAGTCTAGTATTTGTAACTCAAGTCTTTGTGTTTTTATCAGGGTTCTCAAAATGCAAGCAGATTCAATCAGTCGCTTTCGTATTATTAATTATAGAGTAGCTCTGGTGAGATGTTTCCTTGCTTTTATTTTAGTTTAAGTTTTAATAACATTTATAAGAGAAACTTATACTGAGTCACATATCTTTCAGTAAGCATCGTGAGTCCAGAACCTGTAAGGGCTTAGGGTGAGTGCCAGCTGGTCAACATGAAATCTGACCAGCTCCTCCTAATAAGTCCATGACTCTCACCTAATTGGCCAACAAAGAACTGGGTCCCATTTTTTCAAATTCTGACCTTTCTCTCTCCCTTTTTCTATTGTCTCTGCTCTGGTGCTCTAACCTGGTGAGCTAACAAAATCACCCACAAGGAAGCAAGGTGGGCGGGATGTGTGTAGGACGGAGGGGCGTGTCAATGGCAAGCGTGATTAAAGGGAGGGAGCTAGAAGAACATTAAAGTGGATTGACATAGGGTTCTCCCCCAATCCTCTTACACAGCCTCAGCAGCCCCTGCAGTTGTGCATCAGCCACCCTCACTGTCAGAAAATGGAGCCTCTCTGCACTCGGGCCCTGTTTTATGGTGTCGGAGGAAAGATGGGGAGAAAGTTCAGTGTGCCTAGCATTGTGAGAATGGGCTTCTGGCAGGCACCTACCTCTACTGTTCCATGGCACAGAGCCCCCTTAGTGTCAGCATAATCACTCATTTGGTAATAGTGCTGTTCAGAGAGCAGGGGTAGAGCTGCCCTATCTGGGAGCTGATCACCTCTTCTAATCAGGGATTGCAGGCTCTCCAAATGGCTCTCCACCTCACAGAGCATCCTCGGAGCCTCAACTACACACTGGAGTGTAGCTTTGACCATCTGCAGGCTGGTTTAAGTGACACCCCTCCTGCTCCCAGGATGCAGGAATGATACCAGTGCACTCTGCTCTACCCTACTTGCATAAACACTGTCCCCCCATCCCCAGGTGTCCCTGCATGCTGTCCCTTTATGCAGCAACATGGCACCACTCCAACACTCTTCTTGGCATGGGACAAGGGACTAAGGCTGTCAGGCCACACATGGCTTAATTTGCCTCAATCTGGCTCACAATTTGGTTACTCTGTTTTTGCCTGACTGTGCCCTGTGCAGCTGGGGCGAGGGAGTGGAATCTGGCCCCTGGAGTTTATTTGCTGAAGTTTTTGTGTGTTATAATGCTGTGTGCTGTTAAATGCACCCTAACCTAGATACTCTAAAGAAGTAGGGTTGGATGGGGAGGAGTGGCGGTGGAGGACACGCAGCCTGGGTCACCAAGTGAAGATGGTACTATAAAGGCTCCCTCACGTCTCTGGTCCCTTGTGATTTCAGAGAGAAGAGGAGTATATCCCATACCCCAGCATCCATGAGGTGAGTCACAGCTGGCTCTGCTCTGCTCAGTCTCTTCCTCCACCTCAGTAATGTTATTGGTCTCACAAAGCAATGCCTCTGTCTCTCGGGACAGGTGTTACGGAAAGGGTGGCCATACCCCCTCATTATCCTACCCCAGTTTGGGGGCTATTGGATTGAAGGAACCTGCCATGGCCTCCCCAGCTCGACCTCAGCTCTGCATGACCTGCCTTCCCCCTGCAGCAGTAAAGTGAAGCTAGAGTGTGACCCCACGGCCAAGCTGTACCGCAAGCACTTCTTGGGGAAGGTAAGGGGGAACCCCATGGCCTCTCATTCCACTCCATGGCTAAACTGTATCCCAAGGGCCTCCTGAGGGATTTTGGGGTGACCTCACCTCCTCCCCCCCAGATCCCACACCTCCCCAGTGCCAAAAAAAATGAAATAAGATGTGTCCCACTACACACCCAGCAATGTGCTACTTAGAGTCAGAGCTACGTCAGGGGTGCCCCTTTGCGCCTTGTGTAGTGTCCAGTGTGCTAGAGAAGAGAGAGGTCTCAGATCTGATGAATATAAAGGGGATCTTTTGCTGAGACTTTTGGACACAGACAGACCTTGGGAGATGGAAGGGAAACAACTGTAATGAATCATGGTGGCCACCACATACAGACACTCAGCTGGACATGGGGATCAAACCCAGGCCCTTCAGCACAAAATGTAGAAGGCCTGCCAGCTGAACTAAAGGACAAACTCTAGTAGCGCTCAGTAACAGGTTGTTATAGCGAGAGAGTGAGAGCGATAATCGCATGCACTAAGCCAATGTATTACACAGGATTGGGGCCAAGTACTCCTTGATCTTGCCATTTCCAGCTATGACAGGTATGGGAACACATGGAAGCAGAGACCAGCCTCCAGGTGAAGTTCAAAGCATGGGCATTTATTAGCTGTCCCACAGGATCTACCTGAACTGGCTCCTCTGGGGTGCTGGGCGTCACCAGGTGGATCTCACGATCATGCTGACCACCTCACAATCAGTTGTCAACAAAACCATGATCGGTTCTGGAGACCAAGTGCCTAAACCAGAGTTGGCTCAGCTTATTTCAACAGACTACCCTTTGCAATACAAGCCCACAGACAGGGGGGGAAATGTGTGCATCTGGTCTCCACTGCAGAAGAGGCCTCATTGAGGCAGAAGTCAAATTCATCTGGTGTGTGAGACCAGAGACAAGGCCAGTGTAGGAATGATATTAGTATACAGACCCCGCACCAGAGGCTTCTTGTCTGAATGAAAGGAGATGTTGTTCTGAATCTGATTCTGGAGACTGAAATTTATTATCTTGGGAGTCTTTCGAAGTGCTGGGTATGCCACCGTTAACCCCATGTCTGTTAAAGTAACCAGGGAGTTTTTCCAGAGCCATCCACATAGCCAGATACATGCTGGATCTGATCTTTGGCCTAGCTGTAGATGACACTGCTAGCCTGATATGACCCTTACCCCCCTCCAAGCAGCAGTAAGAGTTTTCCCCTCTTCTCATGTGGGATGACTGGTCTGGTATAGCAGAGATTCATAGTCCCAATGAGTTTGCAAAATGTGCAAGAGTGGAGTATTGCACAACTGTAGCAAGCATCTGAAGTGCAGTACTACTGAGTCACTGTACGCTAAGCACTCCCTTCTTCTGATCAGCCCAACAGATTTCCTTGGTTCACTGCTGAAACATGTATTAGTGAGCTTGGGTTCAAGAAATCTTCACAGTGACCATAACTCCTGTAGTGGATAGCACCAGCAACAGTAAGAGCTTGCAGCATACTCACAACGGAGTTACTCCTTCAGATCAAAGTGGTAGAGGCCTCTGCTTTTGGTGCTGTGCAGCCCAGGTTCTGTCCTCACAGGGGACCTGGGAAGGAGGAAGCTATGCTCCAGGAATAGCTATGCTCCAGGAATGTCCTGAAAATCTCTATCATGTTCACAGCCTATCCAGATCAACTTGTGAGCATGAGATGATGAGGATGGTGGGAAAGACACCCAATGGTGAAGGGGTATCTTCTCAGGGACTATGGGAGACCGACAATATCGTAGGTATTATCTGATGGTACCTTGGGAGAATGAGCTTCTCTGACTTCCTGTTTTTAGGAGCATCAGAACTTTTACTCCAATGACACAACCTTGGGCTACCTGGTCCTTTCTGTGAAGTATGAGCAGATTGAGAGGCAGGACAACTTGCACCTGCTGCTGAGGTAACAGCACCCAGCATGGAAACACATGTACCATGCTCTGTCTCCCACCTTACCAGGAAGTCTTTCTGTGTGGATTTTGTGACCTAATGTCATTGTCCCAGGGATGGTTGCAGCGAAACCCCTGACTGGGGAAGCGCCTCTTCCTTCTGGCTCATCTTTGAGCGTTCATATTTCTTTACTCCCAGCTTCTCCCAGCTGTCACCCTCAGGAAGCTGAGGGCTGCAGGGCAGCTAGGAGTGGGGAGGGGTCAGGAAGAAGAGAATTTCTGATGTGTCTGTCCCATTGTAGATAGGGAAACAGTGAAAGGATCAGCAGAAATCTTACATAAAAAGGGGGGAATCTAAAAGCCCTCTGAGCTGTACCAGGGAATATTTTCATTGAGCACAGACACACACATAGGAAAGTGCTGGTGGCTGGTTGGAAGAGACCCTGGTTCTATGCAGCACCCCTTCCTAATGGGACTCTGGCATGCTGTTGGCAGGCCAGCCAAAGCCAGATAGAAGGGAGTTATGCTGCCTGTCCTATGAGGATGACCTTAGGGCTAGTGCAGTTAGTTTTGTGTATGGGAGTAATGGTTTTGAATCACATTGTTGTCCCAAAATATTCCCTTCTGTGTTGAAGCAGCACCTGGATTTCCTTTGCAATATACTTAACTGTTATTAAAGCAAAAAAGGTCTCTAAGGAGTGATGGAGATCCACGTAGCCACCTAACCAGCTCTGTTTTCTTTCTGCTCAATTAATACCAAGCACTGGTCTACAGGAACCCTAAACAGTGTCCATCTTCCTGTGACATTAGGCACTAGTTACATAGACTCTAGCGTAGCACATGTACAACCCTTTTGGGATCTAATTAACCCTTTAGTCGCTGGACCAGAATATTATGCAAGAACAATATTCCCTCCATAAGACGAGATCTGGAGGTGCGGCAGGAGTTGCCTTAAGCAGCCAGAGATGTTGTTTGCATTTCCCTTTATCATTTGTTCTCTTCTTTTTTTGGTTTGTGGCAGGACTCGAACTGGTACCAAACATGACCTGATCCCCATTTCTTGTCTGAATGAGTTCCCCAATGCAGTCCAGATGGCGAAGGTGAGACCCTAACTGAGTACATTTTCTTTCACACACTCATGGTACAGGAACTCCTCACTTAAAGTCGTCCCGGTTAACGTTGTTTCGATGTTAAGTTGCTGATCAATTAGGGAACATGCTCGTTTAAAGTTGTGAAATGCTCCCTTCTAGTCGTTTGGCAGCCGCCGGTTTTGTCCACTGCTTGCAGGAAGAGCAGCCCATTGCAGCTAGCTGGTGGGTGGTTGGAACCAGGGTGGACCAGCAGCCCCCCTATCCGCTTCCCACTCCCCTAAGTTCCCTGTGCAGCAGCTGTCCCTTCCCCCACTGCCATGTGCTGCTCCTGCCCTCTGCCTTGGAGCTGCTCCCAGAGACTCCTGCTTGCTGTACCAGGCGGGGGGGGGGAAAGGGGGGCTAATGTCAGGGTGTCTCCCCCTCCCCCCTGCTCCTGCACCTCGCTTACCCCATCTTCCATAGAGCAGGGGGGAGACAGATGGATGGAGGGAGCTTCTAGGCAGTAGTTGTGGGTCTCAGGTCTCAGCAAGCTGATTTAATTAACAAGGCAGTGTACTTAAGCCTGGGGTCAGCTACTTAAAGGGGAAATGCGCATTCTTTCTCTCACACACAGGGGGTGTGTCTCTGTCTGCCCTCCCTCCTTTCCTGCTGCCTTGTAGAGTGTTGTGAGAGTTAACCCTTGAGGGCTCAGTCAATTGCTAGTTCATTTAGCAGTAAGGTATTCCCTGGGAAACAGGGCCGGCTCTAGGATTTTTGCAGCCCAAGGCAAAAACAATTTTGGCCGCCCCCCC